CCTTCATCGACCCAAGTTCCTGAGGGCAACAGTGGCAGTGCCAACCTTTACAAGGCTTCTGGCTTGACGGTCTAAGGTTCTTCCATGACCGAGCCCCAAGGTTGAAAGGAACCCACTGCTGGAAAGGAAAGCCAGTAGACATTCCTCTCGTTCAGACTTGGAGGGCTGTGTCAGAATTCACACACACACACACACCTGCAGCCAGCCACCCTTTTTTGGGGCAGGGTATTACCATGTACCTCTGGCTGGCCTGAGACTCATAAGAGCTCCATCTGCCTCCTGGGTGCTGGGATTTAAAGGCACGTAACTCTTGATACCTGACCCTCGATCTGTCGGTGTTCGCCTGACCGTGAAAAGGCACTGACCGCCTTTGTCTCACCAGTCAACTAACAATAGCAGGCTGGGAATGGCCTGCATGGAAAGTGTGTTCTGTGACTGTCTTCTGTTACACATACTAGTCATAGAAACAAAAACCTGTTTGTTTTTCAGATTTTCCCAAGTCTTGAAATAGTTGATTAGGGTCACAGGAGTCGCCTCACTCACAGGAAGTAAAATGTAGGTAGATAGCGCTTAGCCGCATCCTCATTCTCTGGAGGCTGCTGTGGAGGGAACATTATCCTTGGAGAGAACGTCCCATCTCAGCCCTTCAGGTAGTTCCCCTTTCTAGCCTCAGATCAGGAAGCACCAGGGATTCCTCCCTCTGCCTATTAGTCATCACCTGGGTCAGTCTGCTGACTGGCTTCCTCTGTCATTTTGCCAAAGTGCTCTGCTGAAGAAAACCTCAGAGCACTATGAAAAGCTGTATCTCTTTGTTATTTTAAATATGTGCGTATTGCTGGGGGTATGGGTAGTATTATGCACATGGACATACAGATGCCCAAGGAATTCAGAAGAGTGTGTCAGATCCCCTGGATTGGAGTTATAGGTGGTTTTGAGCTGCTATGTGGGTGCTGGGACTCAAAACTTGGGGCCTCTGCAAGAGCAGGGTGTGCTCTTAACCACTGAGCCCTCTCTAGCCCAAGAGCTCTGTTCTATAATCTCAGAATGATGTCGGACCTTCCTCGGAACAGTAGTAAACTGTCAGCACTGAGCAGTCACCGTGTGTGTCCACACACTACTTCACGTAGTCTTTCCCACGACGACCGACTTGTTAGTGTCCTTTGGTTGGCTACTGTTCTCAGATTGTAGACGGCATGGCATGGCTGAAATGTGCCCACACCCTTCTTCCTCAGGAACTCTGCTGAGTAGAAATTCTCTCTAGGCTTCCTTTACGGTTTCCAACCTTCCTTGCTTTCCTTGAGCATGTATCTCAACCCCAGCCCAGCTTTCCATCAGTCCAGACAGTCACCTGCAGGTGCCTTTACTCTTCAGTTCACCTTTTCTGTTGTTCTGACCCCCACAGTCATCTTTAATTCTTTGTCATCCTCCTAAATTATATCCTTTCTACTGCTGCTCTAGCATATAAACCTGCTTAAATTTCTTCTATTTTTTAAGTTTGTTCTGCCTGTATGTATGTATGTATATATGTATGTATGTGTGCCCCATGTGTGTAGTACCTGAGCAAGCCAGAAGAGGGCGTCAGATACCCGCCCCCATGGGACGTACACAGGCCTGTGGACTGCCATGTAGGGGCTAGGAATTGAACCTGGGTCCTCCGGAAGAACAGCTAGTGCTCTTAACTGCTGAGCCATCTCCCCAGCTTGACTGCTTACAGTTCTTGCCTATCCTCCTACTACCAACACAGCAGTGGCTACAAACAGTTCTGAGCTTACTACCTACCCCTGGACAGATTGTCAGTGTGTACCTGTTTGCTTGGAGGGTAGCCTTGTTTGAGACTAGCATAATGCATGGCTTCCGGCACTGAATGAGAGTCTGGTGCTGTTGTCCCATGCTTTCTTAGTATTTAGAGTGTTGTCTTTATCCCCGTCACATCTCTGGGAAGGACTGTGGCTGTACAGTTCTGGTGCTGCTCTTTAGTGCAGTTTCTGTTGTTGTTGAAGACTGTCAGGGTGCAGAGTGAAGAACCTTTGTCTGACTTTTGTTTCTTAACGGTTCCTTAAAACACGCTAATGTAAGTTTTCTGGGTTGGTGGTTTGTACTACCAGCATTGAACATTTCTAGCAAAAGTTTAAAGCCAATAATTTAGTATTTATAATATTTTAAGTGTATAACTGAATTGTAATATACTTATCTTAGAAATCCCAGGTAAATAATTTTGTGTGAATTAATCTGAGTAGACATTGTGAATTCTTTTTTTTCTCCCAAATACTTTATATATGCCATGGTATGCACGTAGAGGTGAAGGGAAAATGTCAGTACTCAGTGTTGTTATTCCTCTGTGGCTTCCATGGGTCAAATTTGGGTCTTCAGGCTTCGGGGGCAGGTGTGAGTGCCTTTTCCCAGTGATCCAAGCCCCTGGCCTGACATAAATTCTACCTCAGACCTTGGTCAGTTTGTGTATGGAACTTCTCAACTTTCTCCTTTACCTCCTTGCAGACTAGGGATAACAATAGTCCTTGCCTCGTGGAATTGTGAAGCCCTAATGAGAAATTCACAAACTGCAGAGCACAGTGCCCAGCATCAGTGCCCAGGAAATGGTGGACAGCACCAGCTTTCCTCAGACATACTCAACCTGACTTCATCCCGTCTCCTAAACCTTCTTTCCTCTCCCAACATCTAAGGAAGCTTTCGGGATTATCGAAGATGTCCATATACACGAGGCTGAAGTTATTATTTTTGATCTAGTTCTAATGTCTGTAGTTACAGAATTTGCCTATTCTGGCATTTGTATGGCTTAAATGTGAGCTATTCTCTGTAGCTTATGCATTGGGTCCCCAGACGCTGTTGCTGCTTGTGAAGTTGTAGGACCTGTGGGAGCAGAGGGTGTTGATTCATTCTGGCCCTCCTCCCCGCCCTCTCTCCTGCCACCCAGATCCACATAGATGGGAACATGCTTGTGGGGAGTGGAGGAAGCCCTGAGTGAATCTGTATTGTTGACATGAACACAGACATGTCAAGGATCCCAATGCCTCAGACTCAAGGAAAAGCAAAGCCGTCTTCTTCAGGTGAGCTCAGAGGAACGGCAGAGCCTTTTTACAGATGTATTTACAGATGCTTGGCTAGTGTGTGCAGGAAAACAAAAAACAAAAGGCTAGCACACAGCTTCCTCCTCCCCTAGAGACTACCCGAGTTTCCAGATTACGTAGTGGGGCCGCCATCAGAGAGCACAGCCCACCTGGGTTGCCCAGCTAGTCTGTGTTTGTCTTCTTCATCCCCAAAGTGCCACAGTCATGTTCCCAGGACCAAAGTCATGACATGGCACATGCTCGCTCAGTCATATCTGGTGTGACTTCTCCACGATGGACTTCTAAGCCATAAGCCAAAATAAATCTTTCCTTCCTTAGTTAAGCCAGGTCTTTTAACACCAAAATAAATCTTTCCTTCCTTAGTTAAGCCAGGTCTTTTAACACAGCAATGAGTAAGCCATAGTTAACTACCTTTTGCTTTTGACCCATTTAATGAGCTTTCTCATCAGGAGCCAAGTAACTTCACAAAAATTGTGTATTACAAATAGACTTCAGTCTTTCAAGTGAGACAAATCCTCATTTTAAATGCTGTTTACTGGGACTTAGGGATGCAGCTCAGTAGTAGAGCTCTCATGGAAGGTCCTGGGGTTTGAACTCCAGTACTGTTTGGAGACAGGGTCTCATTATGTAGCCTTGCATGGTACTGATTATGTAGACTAGGCTGGCCTCAAATTCATAGAGCTCCTTGAGTACTGGGAGAGACTAAAGTTGTGCACCACCACACTTGGCTTCCCTGTTTGTATCCAGCTTTGGGTTGTATCTCAGTTATTTATCCCACTTGGACGTGCTGGAACATAATATGGAGGATATAAGCAGTAAAAAGGATCCTTAGCATTGGGCAGTGATTAACATTTATCAGTTTTTATAATAATGAACTATTCAGTGTTACAAGAAGTCAGAGTATGGCCGCCTTTCTTACAACTTGCACTTCAGATAAATGATGCTCCCAATGTAGTCTGGACAGCACACTTGGAGAAAGGCCAGGTCTCTCGGCACACAAGTCTACACTGTCTACAGCTTCAGCTTTGAGAGGTACTTGTCCCAGATTTGCAGTCTGTAGGGAAAGACTTGTCTCCTCTCTGCTACTTCTAAGACCACACTGTAAAGAAAACATTGAGGAAGCACGCTAACCCTGTTCTCCACAGCTAGAGCCTGGCTATCCAGAATCCTAAGTAGGGTTCACTCACGGTCCCGGTAAGTGGTACTTTGTTAGGCTTTCGTGCACAGTCTCCAGAGACCTGGTGACTCTTACAGGCTCAGAGCTGCCATGCTTGCCAACCTTACTCAAGTTGTTCTCTTTTCTGCCAGGGCATTTGGTTTATCCACTCTAAAAACACGCCAGTGTGTCCTTTTACTGCCATTAATCGAAGTTGGGGATTACCGAAAGCTTTTCATGTTCTGCTTTCATGTACTTCCTTTTCTGTCTAGGCAGCATAATTCGCTGTATGAGGCGCCTGGAAGAACTGCTTCGACAGATGTGTCAAGCAGCAAAAGCCATTGGAAACACAGAGCTGGAGAACAAATTTGCTGAAGGTCAGTATTTAGTTTATAAGCCTTTTCTGATCATTTAGGCAAATCTTGAGACTTTGACACAGCTTAGAAGGAAATTTTGAGGTGTCTTGGCCAGACTGTCATGGAAGGTCAACTAACAGTATGTACATAAAATTGGAAGGTTTATGTGGGACATTTTTGGGATTTTTGTTTTATACACAGATTCCCATTTACATATTTATTAAATACTAGGTGTCCAGCATTGTTTTAAGAAGTGTGAAGAGTGGACATAAAGGTGCAGTTAATGGGGCTTATCTTATAATGTGAGGGAGATGAATAAGTCAGCAAGAAGGAAGTAGAAAGACAGCAGCCTAAAGACCTCCACAGGGATGACATTGAAGGCCTTTTCTGCAGACTCAGGATGTTTGAGCAGCAGTGGGAGGCTGGTGTGCTTGGAGCAGGAGTACAGTAGGGATTGTCGGGGATGGAAATGGCCAAGTTTGTCGAGTAGCAAGGAGGATATAGGGAGACCAGGTTAGGAAGGATGGCTAGACTGTCAACTGGGGGGTGGGGAGTTGGGAAGCATGCTATTCGTAAATAGCTTGTCATCTCCACATCTCTGCCTGGGTCTCGGCCAAGACAAAGCTGGCTATAAATCAGTTCGTGCTAGTGATTTCTACTTACTGATGTACCACACTGAGTAGACTGTGTATACCTGTCCTGCTTTAGTCTAAAGTTTCCCATGTCTTCTGGTATAAAGACAACTGCTGGACCTGGATTCGTCTCCTTCTGACATCTTTAGAGCCACTCATGCACACCACATGTAGTAGTGGCAGTAGTGTAGCTGATGGTCAAAAGAGCAAGGACTGTCCCCAAGGTTCTCCAGTGACTCTCAAGTCTCTTAAGCTAACAGCTTTTTATAGTCCACGTTGTTCCCTTACCAATTTAGTCAGGACTGAGCTGTAAAATCCTAGTACCAGGAAGTTATGCTTTATGGTCTTGAAAGCTTAAGCATTATTTTCTTTTTCCCTTAGGAATCACCAAAATCAAGAGGGATATTGTATTCGCTGCCAGCCTCTACTTATAGAGTTCAACATTAATCACCATCTGTCTGATTACAGTTGACTGTAACTGCTTACAAGTGTCCAAGTGATTCTTCCATCAAGAGTTGTTTGAAGCATTTTATTATATTTAAATCAGATATCATTCTAAGAAGGCATGTAACATACACATTTGTACATAGCATCTTTCAATTAAAAAATGTACAAGTGGGGCAGTGTTTTTAGGGGAAGGCTTGAATATTTTTTTTTAAATTGGGCTATTAGATACTCGTTGTGTTATATACACAGGTAAAGTAGGTAATCCAAGAGGTATAGCAGCAGTCCTTCAATGGCCTATACACCGGAAAATAATATGCATCCTCCCGCCTTCTTCTAGCGGTTTCCTTCAGAAAGCTGACCAGTTCCTCCATACCCTTCAAGGCTGGTGATTGCTTGAGTACGCATTTGAGGTGGTGGTTTCATGGAGAGTCGTATGTGAGTCGTCCTCTTTCCTTTCTGCATAAGAATGTCTCTCCTTGAAGAAATCGGATACATACACAGCCTGTATAGAACAGGGCAGAATTTACATAAATTTAAAAATCATATACACAATTTCAGGTAGCAATTAGGAACATAAAATAATAGTTGGCTAGACTGCTGTAGTAGTGTATGCCTTTAAACCCAACACAGGAGAAGCAGGTGGCTCGCTGGAATTCCAGACCAGCCAGGGCTACATAGTCTCAAAAAGAAAAAAAAAAAGCAAGTATGTCTTCAGTAAATAGCTTCATTCAGCTAACACTTAAAAAAACTCAATATAGACTTTAGCAATGAAAACACTAAGAATTTACAACATTCACAAAGAAGTAACCTAATTTTTACCTATCTGACCTATCCTGCAAAAGATTTTATTAACATTGAGATTCTTTACCATGCCTTTGATGCCACTTGGGAGGTAGAGGCAGGCGGCTCTCTGTGAGTTCACCACCAGCCTGGTCTATAGAGTGAGTTCCAGGATAGTCAAGGCTACACAGAGAAACCCTGTCTTGAAAAAAACAAACAAAACAAGCAAAAACGGGATTCTTGGAGTTATTGGGCCCCATTTTCTACCCTGTCAGGTTTCTCACTGGGGATTTTTCAAATGTCAGCAGTGTGAATACTTACAACTAATACTGCGACCACAGCTCCTTGGATGAGGCCAACCATCACGTCACTCCAGTGGTGTTTGTAGTCAGAAACTCGAGAAAGGCCCACATATATGGATAAAGCAACAAGACCAAACTGCAGGGTGGGGCGTAAGAGTCTCGCCCAGTCTCCCCTCATCCTGGCTTGAAGATAAAGCTGATAGAAAGGGGAGGGGCGGGGAGAACAGTTCATTCATCAAGTAAGCTGAAAACTTGAGTACCACTTTACCTCAAAAGTGTTGGAATTTAGATCATCAAAATATTAACGTATGAAATAGAACTTTAGTTACTACTTTAAAGGACATCCCGCCACAAATACGGCCCCAGAGCTTGTCCTTAGAAGACTTTTTTCCCTATTTAGCTATCTCCTGCCCTTGGAAGTGTGAAGCAGGGCTTCCCTGTGACTGTAGACAGGATTTCACGGCAGTCCTTCCTCCCTGTAGCCTGAGCTACAATTCTGGTAGTGTACAGGGTTGCCATCTGTCCCTAGGCTTGGGGTCCACTGTTAGAATTCAGGCAAGAGTTGGCCCTTGCTCTGGGCCAGACTTCTGGTTCCTGCCCAGCACATCTAAGGACTGTTTGCTTGGCTTACCAGTTTACCCAAGAGTTCTGCTATCCTCAAACAACAGCAGCTGCAGCTAAATGAATGATCTACCTAAGTAAATAGAATACCCCGCCCAGATAAGCAGTGTGGGTTACGATGCAGTCGGGATCAGCAAAGCAATGTGCTCTTCCCCTAACCTGTTACCTTCCTAGACTTGAGGACATTCCCCATGATTCTGACACTTAATACCTGAAATTTTTGATATAGAAGGAAATCTTCAGTGGAAATCTTATTTTAAAAGCAAAACCAAAAAAAAAAAAAACAACACAAAATAACAACAAAAATGATACTTCTTCTAGTTACTTAGTTATAGGTGGTAATAATAGTGTATCCTTGTAATCCTTGCACTTAAGGAGGATGGAAAGTTCCAGGCCATCTAGGATACAAGACCCTGTGTCATGACACCATTACCCCTCCTCACACGCCTAAAAGAAAAAAGGTAATTTTCAACATTTTAAAAAAAAACCTGCAGGCGCTGGGTGGTGCACGCCTTTAATCCCAATACTGGGGAAGCAGAGATAGCCCAATCTCTGTGAGTTTGAGGACAGCTTGCTCCACAGAGAGAGTTCCAGGACAGCCAAGGCTACACAGAGAGACCCTTGTCTTGAGAAACCAAAAAATAAAAATCTGCTGTCTAAGAGGGTGTGCTGGCTAGTTTATAACAACGCAAGCTGGAGTCAGGCACTGGAGGAGGAGGAAACCTCAACTGGGACAACACCTCCAGAAGATCAGGCTGTAGGCAAGCCTACAGTGCATTTTCCTAATTAGTGATTGACAGGGAAGGCCTAGACTATTGTGGGTGGTGCCATCCCTGGGCTGCTGGTCCTGGATTCTGTATGAAAGTAGGC